TCAGTAATGCATTCACAAGAATGGGCCAGATGTACATAAAGTCAGACCAACAACCCAAAATGCCTCCGGCTGCAGCTGTCGCTCGCACAGAGACATAAAAATTTAGCTTTTGAACAGGCTTGTGAACATGTATGAAGTTTTAGTCAAAGTGAAACATCTTGTATTGATACCTCAGCACAATTCACCACATACAGTAGAATGTAGCCAAAAGCCAAAGATCTCTCAGTGCACAGTTGAGTTGGATACCATTAGCTATAGAAACAGTCAGGTTTAACGAACTCTCTCTGAAGAGGGAAGGCTGTGTTTGTTTTTAGTTTAGGTGTGACTTTTTTGCCATTGTGTGACATTCTGAGGGCTAAACCTTTTAGATTATACATGTTAACCATGAGATGGAGTGTCACCTCATAGCAAGAAGGTTCCGGGTTTAAACCGTGTGGCTGGCTGGGGTCTTTCTATGTGGAGTTTGCATGTTCTCTCTGTGCCTGCGTGGATTTTCTCCACATACTCCTCCCACAGTCCAACTGATTGCTGTTTCTAAATTGCCCATGGTTGTGAATGTGAATGTCTGTCTTGATTTGTCAGGTCTGTGATAAACTAAATACTTGTTCCATTAATAGCTATTAAGCAGTATACTATAGATAATGGGCTGATTGATTAAGTGCATTCTTGTCAAAAACAGTGCTGGCTCAGCACATAACAACAGTATATGACATGGCTAAACAACAACCACACTGTGCTGTTTGTCGCAGATTAAAAAACTGACAAGAGCATGCATGTTCAGAGTTCTTTCTAGTGAAGAGAGCAGATGTATACTACGGTCTCAGCTGTAATAGCAAAAACAGTTTTTTCCTACTGTTGGTCTAATGTCTCTCCCGCCCTCTCTTCTTGCTGTCTAACCATCATCCACTGTCAAGTCTACTAGAAAATGGTACTGGAGATTAGTACCTGTAAGTCTATCCAGTCTGAAGAGCACCTCTTCATAAATTATCATCTTTTTCATTGCATGTAGCCCTGGGTCCCATCATCCACTAGACAAGACCCCCACCCCTACCCGATCTTCATCCCCATATAAATTGAAATCACATTCAAAGACAAACTGACCATCTTAAACATGCATCATTCTCAGGGTAGGAACCTCTAATTGGAACAGCAAGTCCAGTCCAATAGTATGATCATATGAAAACCAGATTTTCCACTGAGAAACATACTTGAACCTAACGACCCAAGCTCAGTATTGTTAACTACCCCTTTCTGTTGTAAAATGCAGATGTGCTACCACTCCTGTGTGGGCATAATGGGAGTACTGATCCGCTGAGGATAAATGAAATACTGTTGTCTCTGTGGTTTGTACAGGCTCAGAGATGTACAGAAAACCTGCAGACAGGACAGATGTATTAACACATTAGTATTAAACTGTAAATCACATGCGTTCTCTGCAGCAACACCACAGTGGAGGTTTAGACTGCCTCAGTGCCAGTGGGTTGTACAGTAGATGTATTTTGTTCCTCGCTCTCCTTATAGAAAACTAACCTTAGAATTGCATCCTTTTTAACCAGATGACTCCACTGTCATTCTAGATGTTGTCTGATTATTTGCATGGTCAAATTAAGCTATTGTTTCAGTTGAACCTTACTCTCCCACCATGCTTGGAATTCCTCAAATTAACACTTATTTGTGTGGGTTTATGTAATGGGTTGTGTGTGCACACTGGTGCATGCAGATGAAAGTGTGTCTGCAGATGTTTGTACCAACAATCACAGAGCCAGCTGTACATATGCACCCCGATGACACCTATAGATGATATGTGTTTACCATTGCCATGGTTTCAGGCTCGCTATAGGAGGGAGCATGCCCAGCAGAGGAGCACTCCATCCCTCCCGCTGGTGGAGAACCTGCTGAAGGACAACACAGATGGCTGCGCCCTCACCGCCCTGCTGCACTTCTACTGCTCACAGGCCATCAGACTGGAAGGTGGGGTCAGTCTGTAACCACACCCACTGCTATTCACCACCCATACCCTCTTATATTGTAATTATTCAAAAAAGAAAATAGACAAGAGCAAAGTAAGTTGGGTTATACACTTAGAAATATGAAAGAATAACCATAGAGGGAGCTAACCACAATGTTCTGCCTGAACTGGACAGCACAAAGGGCACTGTCTTCTTCTTTCACTGCCGCTGTAACTGGCACCATACTTTTGAATAGGGTGCTTGCAACAAAGGATGTATTTATTATCCACTAACCCTTGTTTTCCAAGGATTTTTTTTTATTACAAAATAATACCATTTGACTGGAGTTTTAGAGGCGTCATTGGGCGACATTCTCAACCTAATGCTGAACAACAATGCAGTCAAGAGATTATGGTTTTTGTTTTGACTTTTTGCATTTGCTATTAATTATACAAAACAGGACTGTCGAGGACAATGACCCCAAAAAAAACCAGCACTGAGCAGACAGGATTTAGGTCAGAAATGAAGAAGGCACGCAAGACAAAAAGAAACAAAGACTTGTTTCCTCTGAGCTCTCTTGCTCCCTCATTTCTAAATATGCCCTGGGCTGGGCTGTGATTGGTCATGAGGCAGGATGTGACGGAGAACCAGGAATAGCTGGCTGCTATTTCAAAGATAAACAGCTCTTGAGCCAGTGCTGTGAGACTCTTGGGAATTAATGTAGTTCACAGGGAGCTCATACACATGTTAACCAGATGTGAAAGCAGGTTAAATGTTATTCAGATTTACTAGCTGGCAGCTTGATTTACTCTGAAAATAACCTTTAGAAAAGTACAGTAGAGAATGACATCATTCTGGAGAAACTGCGGTGATGTTTGGTTGTCGGTCTCTCATCCTACACATGTATGGGTCATCCTTACATCAGGACATAAAAATCCTGATGATTCATCTACAAGGGAGTTGAAGGCAGTTAGAAACATTGTGTAATACATTTTTTTTTTCCCAGAATTTTGAGTGATTCAAATCAGCTACTGCATATGGCACAAATACTAGTGGGTCAGTTTCTTATCTGTTCTTTTTTTAAACCTAAACTATGCCTTGTCTTTTCCTTGTCTTCCTGTTTGGCATTTACTGTCACCACTCCCTTGTGTGCGTGCGTTTACGTATGTGTGTGTGTGTGTGTGTCTGTGTGTGTGTGTGTGTGTGTGTGTGTGTGTGTGTGTGTGTGTGTGATCTCTGTCCTGGCTGC